TTTTATCACACAAATGGATCAGGTTTAAAGGATAGCCAAAAACATCAACTGTGTGACGATGCTTTGACTAATGTCAAGGCCAAAGAGGCTAAAGGAAATAAGGAAAAAGAAAAGGGGAATAAATGGAGAAAGGGATCATGTGTCACTGCCTTTGTCAAGGATTAAACATGTGGTTGGGACTAAAGCATGAGGCATATTGTTTGTGTTGTGGTTTTCAGTTCCAGTGACAAAATAAACTGCAAGGGATTTTGCTTGTGAGAAAAAGTGTGTTTGCATATGTGAATCTGTCCTATTTACTGCATGTTTATGTACAGTTGCAAAATAGAAACACACACGTGGAACACCATGTATATATACACAGATCCATGGCTCACTGCTCCAGCTTATGCAGATTTGAGAAACTACAATATAGGAACAGAACCAAACCAAACTCCTTTACAGATCAGACTAAAACCAACCAGGACTGTTTCTGCTAAATTGGCCCGGGTCTTTGGACCCGTTGAAAAACCCACTCCAGAGATTTTTCCAAAAATAATCAAAATGATATACGGCAATACCTCTCCTTCGATTTACAAAACCCGTAACTGCAAGAAAACAGTATATCATCAGTCTTCAAAAAGACGATTTAGCAGTGTTACCATGAACCTTAATGCGTCTCCGGGCTGATTCATGGCTCCTCCTGGCCAACATCACAGAAGCAGCTGAGAAGTTTCTGTTCCCGTGGCCGGACAGCAGCAGGTGTCAAACTCTATGGATCCACTACCAATCACCAGCTAGCTCCACACCAGCTGTAGTTCATGGCTCATCGTGGTATAAACTTACAGCTGAAAACATAAGAAAACAGAACATGGGGATTTACTTTGAATTGAGGTTTAATATAAAGTGATTTGACCAGAGAAAACATTTATTCACTGTTTCTCAAAGAAGTAGCTTCTCAGAATGTAAAAACTCTGGTGTTTGTTTTTAATATGACTCGAGGTCTAGTTTCTTCCCTTCAATGCACCTATTATGTGTTGTTGTGAAACTGGGCTTGATTATTGTCTTTTTTATAAAAGAAAATATATAAATCTTGAGTAAAATATCTAGGTGACGACAGAAGGATATTGTGTGGTTCGTAAACCCTTTTGAAGGACAAAAGAGAAGATAGTTCTTGAAACCTAGTATGTCTCATTTAAGATAAGGAAATAGATAATGTTAATTAGCAGCAAGGGAAATGCTGAGATAGTCTGTCTATAAGGGGAACAACACATATTGGTACTCTGACCAGATAAAAATGGGAAATTGTGCCATGTTATTTGACCTGGAAGTTTGGGTTGAAGAAATTAAATGAGCTAGAAAATGTATTTTTTCAAAACCTACAAGTGATTATAAAGCCATTGTCCAACACATTGTTTCTCCTTTGATTCAACATCTATGGTTAAAGACTTTGTTGACAGCCCATTGAGGTGGTCCATATGGCGGTGTGAAGGCGCAGGGCTCGTGACTCTCTGGAGGATGTAGAGGAAACCAGACAAAGGCCCAGCCAGCAGGCCCTCAGCCTCCCAGACCCTCAATGGAGCAGAGGCAGAGCCCCCACTGGGGCCAGTTGCCTGTACGTTCTCCAACCAAAGTGTGATCTATGGAAACGGACCACTCCAACATAATACGTTCAGCCATCCATACTCCTGCCTCCTGGGTCACGTGGTCTCTATGATGAATAGTAGCCGTGGAATGTTAAACAAGCGATTGGCATGTGACAGATTCATTTTATTTTAACTCATCACCGCCAGCAGGCAGATTCATTTACTGTTGTTGAACGGCATGATGTACTGTGAGCTTGTGAAAAACAGCTTGGTTAAAGTGTTTTTATAATAAGACAGCTTGAAGTGTGTGTGTTTAATACTCAGATGTTATGTTGGCTGTCAGGGTCTGTCTCAAAGTATAATATTACAATGCGTTATTTTTGTGAATTCAAGTGTAAGATCTACTAATATAAATGATCAATAAATTATATATTTTTTATTTTAAATAACCCTTTTGTTAGAATAAACTTTGATTTACTCACTATTTACAAGACTGAAAACAGGGAAATTGATAGTCAGAAGGACAGAAACAGAACAAAAGGATAATTGATAAAACATTTCTTAAATGCTCTTAAGGTTTTCAAAGTTCTAAAAACCCTTGAGGACACCTGCTATTCGTTCTGACCTTTAGAGAAGTACCTAATGTTTGATTTACACCATATTCTTTGAGATTACAGCCAGGAATGGCTCATGCAGAGAGCAGGAGATAGACCCCTGAAGAGAAGACCTCCAAGATGGATGGGCCACAGAACACCACATCACAAGTCTTGTCAGCTGAGACAAATATACTGAACGCTGAACAGGTGTGAGTAAATCATAGCAGGTAGCTTTATGTTCACCTTACATTATTAGAATCACAGTTCACCTTTTCACCCCAAAACTCCCTAAAAATGAGAATGTGCCTCAATGGTTTCTTTCACTTTATATTTAGAAGAATATTAACTTTTTATGCGAACAATTCCAGACAAGAAAGAACCAAATGTTCAATGTGGGAATATACTCCAAACTCGCAATAACGAAATTGAAACAAAGGACATGAGGATGTGCTGCCAAATCTGCTTAAGTAACTACAGTCCATTCTCCTCGGCAGTAGAAAGTACATCTTTCTGATTGCGACAGATATGTTGAAATACTTGGATGTTCTCTGACTTCTCTCCGAGGACATGTCAGAAATTGGACCCCATTTACAACTTTCATGTGTGTGTGTGGATGTGTTTGTTTGTGTGTATGTGTTCAAATTACTTCCATTTGTATTTGTGATTGCGCAAACCACACTGCACACGTTTGTTGTTTGTGCAGCTCACAAAGGTTTAGAAAGGAATACAGAAGCGAGTTTAACGTGTGTGTTGTAAGGACATGTCAGGCATCCTGTGTGAGAGCCCGCAGGTTCATAGGCTGTTGTAATCTGGGCACTTTGATCTGAGACCCTCTGAAGTCACCTTTCACTCCAAGCTGAGAAAATCTTACTCAAATAGTTTGACTTTCAATCTGCGCTCTTTTAATTTGGTTCGTTCTGTGTTTTCGTTCTTAGTTTCACATACTCAGGCACTAACACACACACACACACACACACACACACACACACACACACACACACACACACACACACACACACACACACACACACACACACACACACACACACACACACACACACACACACACACACACACACGCACACACACACACACACACACACACACACACACACACACACACAAACCCATTGTGGCTTGTGAATAAGTCAATATGTGTCCATTATTCAGCTGTCAGCTGATTCTGCTCCTTGCATCTCCTGTCCGGTCTCCATGGTATCATCTTATACAATTGTTTGAGATCCGAAACACAGAAAGTCCATACACCGTGTGGAAAACTGCTCAAACAAACACAAAATGATGAGAACACTTTGATAGAAGTACAGGCAAGAGCTTGTGAAAACCTTTATAATCCTCTTTAATGTAATTCAGTCCCTAAAACAGATATTATCCCTAAAACTAGTTGTTGTACTTAACTTATGATACAGGCTGGACGCATTAAAACACACATTTTAGTTATTCTACTTGAATCACCATGTCTCATGCATTTTCATGATAAAGTGTGCTGTCGGCAGGTGGTTTGCTTTCCCGCAGCAGTGTGATGAGAGAATGTGTCACAGATAAATGGAAAAAGAATAGAAAAATACAAAACAAACCACTTATGCACATTATTCGCCCTGTGTGATTTACAAAAAAACAAATGGGGCACAACAAATCATGAGCTTGTATAAATATGAGCTTTTGTTTTCTGTGCAAAATGTCCGAATATATTTATATTGTGGCACTGCATTTAGTTCAGATGTGTGTATTTAAATTGAACCTGCCTGTAATAGCATTTCATGAATTAAAGCAGCATTACCCAGTGTCGGAGAAAAAAGTTAATGCTCATTAATGTTCCCCAGGACTTCTGATGCATCCTGTTAAACACACTAATAATATCAAATACAACAGTGAGGATGTTGTGCATACACAATCAGATTTGAAATTTTAGCATGCTGTACAAAATCAATTGTTTAGGGATTCAATTAAACTGAGAAGTGTTTTATTCCTTTCCAAACACAAGCTGGGAGGTGTGTGTGTGTGTGTGCATGCGTGTGCGTGCGTGCGTGCGTGCGTGTGTGTGTGTGTGTGTGTGTGTGTGTGTGTGTGTGTGATGTGTATATATCTCTCTTCTCTATTTATTGGAACCATCAATGCAACAGAACACTCGACTGAGTCCCCTCCGCCTACATTTTTAGTGGTTAATTAATTTGGGGCTGTGAACCCCCTGAGATGACAAACCATGACTGAAAACAAACATATGCATATAAAATGTCTCTGGTTTCTTTTTAGTCTCAGCAGCATGTTGAGCTTAATATGTGTTTGCCTTGTGAACATATTTTGTATTTATCACCAATAAATGTGTGTGTGTGTGTGTGTGTGTGTGTGTGTGCATGCGTGCGTGCGTCCGTGCGTGTGTGTGTGTGTGTGTGTGTGTGTGTGTGTGTGTGTGTGTGTGTGTGTGTGTGTGTGTGTGTGTGTGTGTGTGTGTGTGGAGTGGAGTGGGGGGTAGTGGTGGTTAGATGCCTCTATTGAGTGATGTGCGTAATTTGGTTGTCAATTTTACCCGAGTTCGCACCAAAGAAACAGGAAACAACTTAACAAAATAAAAGCATACAGGTCAAACAGGTGACACCAGAGCCCCAAAACACTGACATTTACGAAATAAGTTTTCCAAGCCAAACCAAATCTTATTTTCTTTCGCTTGGTCGTAATTTGTTGCATTACATAACTTGATACATATTTGTTATGACAAAACCATACGGCGCAGGACAAAACTATTGCCCTCGTTTATTTTATTTTTCTGGACCGGAAGTTTCCCCTGTTTCTACATGCTGGCTTGACACATGGTGCGTAATTTAACACTCCAGCACGGTCCCGTCTGTCACAGCTCCTCTGGACTTTACTCTGAGCAGGATCAAATCTCAGTGGCATTATCGCAGAATGGATATGAAGCTGTTGGCACTCCTGGCTGCGCTCATGGTGGTGATATATGCGCCTCCATCACAAGGTATGAACATATTTTCTGGTTTGCTGTGTTGTTGAATCAGGTTTATTTAGACAAGGTAAGGCAAGTTTATTTATATAGCACTTTTCAACACAAGGCAATTCAAAGTGCTTTTCAAGAAATTAAAGACATTAAGAAAATGGCATTTAAAATCAGTCATTAAAAAGAAAAGCTAATAAAATAAACATTACAAATTTAGATTTGTTTTGTTTTGTTTTTTGCAGTTCTTGACTTAAAATTAAGTGATTTTATCCGCAAATCATGAGGGGTTGTTTAGCCACCCTTTGCTATATGAGAGAAATGTTTTAAAAATTCATCGGTTGAGAAGAATGTCCAAAATCTCCATTTCACACGTTTTACTATTTGTAAATGTATATATATAATACTATAAGTAACCCTGATAGAGTTTGCATTATATATTTTTTATTTATGCAAATCGTAATCGTCGTGAAGTGACATGGAAATGTTTAAATGTTAGTGATAAATTATCAGCAATGTAATTCAAATGCCAAAATGAAATGAAATATATAAAGTGCTAATATTGTCTGGATTATTGACAACCGTTTAACTTTATTATGCATGAGCTTGTTCGGAAGAGGGGGAAACATTTTTCCGTCGTGCGTAAAGCACCAACAGGCTGCTGCCCATGTGGCTCTCCACGTAAGAAATTCCCAGTCGGATCACCGATCACTGTGTGTATTTGTTCTGCTCTTTGTTTTCATTTAATTACGAGCAAATGAGGCAGCTAAAAGACAAAGCCGCAGCTAGTCTACATGGCGACATCAGTCACCTAAGTTAAAGGTGTTTCCTCCTTTATCATGGAAATAACGTGAGACTCTGTGTAAAAAAATAATTAGCATAGATTTTAATCTAACTTTTTACCATTTGTGTGATCTTAATTTCTCCTTAAAAATACTAACTCTTCCACCAACTGATTCTGAGTAACTTCATTTTTTTGCCATCACTGTTAGTTAAATAAACGTGGAAGTTGTGTCATATGGCTTTCAGGAAAAACAACATAGTCCTATTTGTTTTTCCACATTTTTATCAAAGTGAAAATCTTTTGATAAGCTTGAAACAGTTTGTAATGGAAAGCAGACTTACGCACATCCATCATGAAGTTTAGGGACCACACAACACTTCACATACAGCATGTGTGACTGAAAGAGCTCAGTGTTTGTGGAAGTCCTGTTAACAAATTTGTTCTACCTCTGCGTGGGCTATTCGAGCAATTAAGAAAATGCAGTTAAAATGTAATTTTGATCAATGCTTGCTATATCTTTCTGACCCTGTTGGAGATAAATGGGTGTACACATAATGGATGAATGCACAGTAGAGTTGCCGTTCTTTTGTGAAGACTTATTGTGGCTCTTTCATCTGAGGATGTTTTATTTAAAATACTATGTCAGAAATTATTTAGAGCTCATTTCATGTTTGTGAGAATCATATTCTAACAAAATGTATGAAGTAGTGTCCCAGTTTTCACACAATATCATAACAGTTGTCAAATGTTGTGTTGTATTGGTTTAAAATGATGCATTGCAGTAATGGTAAAACTGGTCCTCTTCTTTTTCTCAGCAAAGCCTATCAGCCTGGTGGAGAGATGCTACTGTCGTTCCACGGTCAACAGCCTCCCACGAGGCTACATCCGAGAGCTCAGGTTCATCCACACGCCCAACTGCCCCTTCCAAGTGATGTGAGTATTGTTTTAACGCTGGCATGTTTTGCACCCTAGTCTTAAAAAAGTCAGATAGGTTTCCTCCTTGCTGGACATTTCTCACCATCAATCTCAGAGATGTGACAGGCCAGAGAAAAGAGTTGTGCATGCATGTGTACACACACGCCCCTCTGCCACTCGCTTTCACATATATGCAGAGAAAGTATTTACCACAGGCTCAATGATGCATCCACAGGAAGTGCTCCATCTGAGGATTAATGAATGTGAAAGGGTGGTGGAAATTGGACGCAGTTTTGTTTTCAACAGGAAACCAATAACTGTGGGTTTGGTTTGGTTTGTTGGCTTGTCACGCTGCGGTTCTTTCTTGTGCTACGTTTACAATGTTTTGGTCTGATCCTATTCATTGTAACTTTTCATGTGTAGTGAATTCAAAGTGTGGAGAAACATTAGCGCAACATTTGTTACAATAGACTAGAAAACATGAGGAATAGTTAAGTGTGCAGGAAATATAATTGGAAGGTCTTAGAAATACACATATAGGAAGAGGGGAAAAAGATTTTTCATTACTTATAAACAGGACGTGTGCGCCAAAGGAGGCATGATCTCCCACATAGAGACATATGATCCAGTCTTGACCCATTCTGTAAATAACCATAGGGTTATGCTGGATTTAGAAAGCTTGCAGACACACGTTGAAGGATTGATTGCTCCTATCTTCATGTACATACATTTTAACGGCGCATTAATTAGGCAGTTCAATCAAGGGGGATAATTAACCATAAGGGATATGATCTTTAGCTGCAGCTATTCGGGTCAAAGTGTGATTGTTCACGGCTGTGAAAAAGGTCTCTGTGTGTGTCAAACTAACTAATTCAGTCTGTTTAATAGCAATGTGTCAAGAAACCTGAAGTCACTGAATTTGCACCCTTTCATCTTCAACCGAGGCATAATGACAGAATACTGAACTCTTTCCCTTATTTTCTGATCAGTGCTAAGCTGAAGTCAAACAAAGAAGTGTGTGTGAACCCAGAGATCCCGTGGCTGCAGCAGTACCTGAAGAACGCCATCAAAAGGTATGTCTCTCAGTAACACATATTGGTTTTGGATTGTGTGTCTGCTGAAACACAGGGTTCTGTCAGCTGTTGTCATTTTCTAACCTTTAACAGAAAAACTTGTCGGGAGAACCGTAAAATCACTTCCACTGTAAAGACATTTAAAGTAAGCAATGCAAAAGCACAAATGCGCATTTGGACATCAAGCCTGTTGTGAGAGTGACACCTCTTAATTGCCCAATTGATATTGTATCCTAAACTTTAGACATGCTGGTACATGACCCAACAGGAGGCTGATTCCACTCACACAGACAAACTGTTTGCTTGATGTGGGATACCCATACACCACACACATTTTAAAACCTAATTTAATCTGCGGTTATTAGAGTGCAGTTATGTGTTCACCCTTGATTATCACTGTTTATGCAAGACACTGGTTTAATGAAATATGGACCACAAACTTGACAAACAGTGTTTCAACTTGATATGGGTGTAACTTGCCTTTCTGTAAATGAATGCAACAACTTGCAACTAAAATCATGATAAAGTTTGCCTAAGATTGAGAGGGCCAAAAGTCATCAGACAAATATAAACTGTCTTCATCCTGCTCATAGAAAGAAGACACTTTTCTGGAATAGTTGGCACCTTAATGTTTATAGAAGGGATACAATTGCCATCCTGAACTCTGTGCAGTCATGTATTTCTGAGAATCGAGCATCCCTGTGGCGGGCAGATGAAAATAAGTCTGAACTGTATCAGTTAAAGAGTTTGGGGATGCAACACGTCCTGTTTTTGCAAAAGGAGAAAACGTAATGCACTCCTGATCAGAGAGGAAGTTAATGCTCCAAACCTTCGACTAACACTCTGTGCCGCAGTCAGACTGTCTGTCCCAATGATGGTTGTGGAGACTTTGACTTGTGTGAGGTGTGTTCCCTGCATAACAAAACAGACAATGTAGAGAGTAGACAGTGGTCATTCACAATGGATCAGACCTAATGTGTTTCCAATTACACATACATAGGAGGGAGGAACCTATTTACAATGTGCTTAGAGAAACACGATTGTAAGCCCTGCATTATGCTACCCTTTATTCAAGTAAATAAGACCATGATGAGCCTTTTTGGTGGTTGAAATGTGTCTCTGCAATTACAGAGTTGTATTCCAAGTTGTATACGGTTTGAGCAGTGGGATGTGTATATCACTGAGCAGCAACTGCTGTTAATTAGAGTTCTGCAAAATTGCATAATTTCGTATACAATTCATCAAAACATGTTTTATGCAGTTTCCAGGTCCAAATAGCTCTTTTTGGAAAGAAGAATCTCAACCCTTCAACAAGCAAATGACCAAAAGACCTTGGAGTCAGAAATGGCCAACTGAATTATGTGCTCAGAGCGACTGATTTACCAGCTACAACCGAAAGCAGGATAAAGTCAATAAGCTAAAAAAAAGTTCTTGATTGCAGTCAAAACATTTCGTCCTGTAAACTTGAAGCAGCTGTTATTGATCGAGTATTCCGGGACAGACTATTTTCTAAATGTTGGCATCAACTCTTTGTTTTCCTGGTGTCCCGTCATTACTGAACAAATACTCATTATTTTTCAATAAGGTGTTATGGAGTTAACTATTGACATTTTCATAGCCAAGTGTTTGTACAAATGAACATGATACAAATGTTGTTTGTCACTCAGGAGTTATATTTCGTAATTGTTTCTTGCAGGTGTTGACAGCATTCTAAGTCAGCAACCACTTTCAGTTACATTTGCATATCTTTTTCTTATAAAACTAATATCACATTAACCTTTTCATTTCAGAATGAAGAAATCCAGAAAGGGCCACTAAAAACTCCAGGATTGTTCCTCATGAGGCATCACTGAGGGTCAGAAACATCACAATATATAACATGTAATACGAGATCATCTGGTATGTTGAACAGCACTTATATCGGCTGCCATGCTGCAGCCTTTTGAATTGATAAAATCTGCAACCCTTCACCGTGAACACACCCGCCTTCACCATTACCACCCTCACCGTTTATAGAGATTATAGAAGTTATTAATTCAAAGTGAAAATATACCTGTGAGTGTGTGTTTTTCTAACTATAATGTATATACTTTTTTTTTTAATGGACATCAACAGTAAAAAGCTATTTTTGGAGATTGTTTCGTCCCTCTGGCCTTTCTGTCATTTGAGAAAAATGATGAATCCTGGTGTCATAATGTGAGATAGTTGTAGGTCAGATGGAGAATGTTGTCCATCAACAACACGAGTTAACATCCCACTTACAAGTAGCAGAGTCCTTTCATCCACTAAAGTAGCAGAAAACCATTATCATCCTCAACGTGGTATCTGCTATCCGACTTTTCTCTGGTTTGAAACTGAACAAAATAAAGAACAATGTAAGTTTCTCATCTGAACACAAGCAGAGTCACAGAGGTTGCCAAGTCGTATTTCATGTCCCAAGTTAATTGGCACTGTGGAATTTCAATGGGTGCCAGCTACCCCCAGACTGAATATAAGATGCATAAAAGATCCTATTAAAAAGTTTTTTGTGATGGAAATTAGGATGCCAGAAGAGCTTGAGCTGTGTTATCCAACATGCCTGGGTTTTTTCCTTCTTAGAAAGAAGCAGAACATCTGGATCCCAAACCGTTTAAATTGGATGACCAATAAGTCTACATTTACTGGAATCATCATGCTGTGCCACTTAACAAGAGACGCTAAGAACAAATGGTGATAGTCACCGACCACAGTAAGGGGTCTTACCATATTGGTGTCAAAAAGCCGGATCCTGATTAAAAAACTCTCACTGTTACCGCATCAGTAGTTAAAATACAATGTTACATTGAAAACCATAGCAGAGAAAGTAGTATTACTTACAATTAAAGATGACTGTCATTTAGTCATGTGAATAGCAATGCACTTTATATCTGATGTATTCATGTTTTAACAACATCATTTACTATGAATCACTAAGTTTGCTCATTAAATTCTGACTTTTGTCTTTTTTTATGTTATTCATGCTGTTTCCATTCTTTTCTACTCCTTTCTGATCATTGAATGTGCAGCTGCCTTTTACTGCTAAACATTGGGTGAAGTTTTCATATATTCATTAAAATCTTTTTGTCACATGTACAATTATTATTATACAAATGTTTTATTTTTGTACTCCTTTGCATTTATGTATTAAAACTAAACATTTAAATGAAGGAACTGTACTCTCACAATTGAGTCTTGAAGCCTACTTTTTATTGCAGTGCTTGTATGCATTTGGCCAGTAAAAAGCGAATCTTTAAAAACGGAATAGTTGCCAATTCAACGTATGCTGTCCTATAGATATAACAAGCCTTTTCGAGACTCCCATCAGTTGCCCACATACACACAGTCTGGTTAAGTGGCTCTTTTTATCTTTATATTCGGTGCAGAGCAAGCCTCACACAGCTGCTGTAATCTTACTGTACCAGAGGGTCAGAGGCTAAATCTAAAGACTTTGATGTGTGAACATGTGTTTAGTTTTACTCACAAGTGCATAGGAAAGGCAAGTACAATGATTCTGCCTGTTATTTAACTATTAACTCAACAAGCCACCATTAGGAAAACATTAGCACTAAAAGGGATGAACTTTCAACTTCCCTCTGAGGGCATTTGGGGAGGCGGAGCACAGTAGTTTATGTGATGAGAGGGGCCTGCTGATTGTAACATCGGGGGCAGATAAAGGGCTTGGAGTGGCAGTCAACAATTTGTCTATGATTAGCTTTGAAGTCCGGTTTAAGAGGGATAAAAGCAGAGTCAGCACTCTTGAGTGAGATAACACCATTGATTAAGCCACTTATTTAGCACTGGTGTGTGAATATGGAGTTGAAATTAATCAGATATAATCACTATGTAAACTGATATCACTGCAGGAATCTCCAGGTAGCAACAATTATTTCCCCTGAGTAATGTGAAGATTGGGCAGCTTTATCATGTAACATTTGATCAGACAGATTTTCATATATTTAAGTGTTACCTTTTTGTACTCTGAGTAAACCATTAAAACTTAAATACACATACAATTGCTTGTTCGTCATTTGCCTTTTGTCCTCAATATTTTATGTTTTACATTATCACTGATCTGTGTGGGTTGCACAAAATACAAACATATAATATGTCCTCTAATAAAAAGCAGTTGTTTTTCTAATAGTTCCTAATTTATTGGGTTCTTTGGATCACTGCCAGCACCCACCATTAAGACCATGCAGGTAGTGTTACTGGTTCCATGGAGTCTAAGGTGCAGTAAAAGTTACATTTTATATGCACATTACATTTACCTGTAAATGTGGGAATAAAATGCAAGAAAATAAAGCATTGAGTTGCTTGTAAAATAAGCTGACTCATGCAAAATGTTTCATCTCACAAAACCGCTAATTTAAATATTTTCAGAGGTTTTTATAACAAAGAGCCTGTGGAACATACATTATTTTAGCTACAGCACATCAAGTTTACTGAAGTGTAACAAAAACATGATAAAAGTAATTATTAGCAGATTTACACGAGTGATCTTCCTCAGTGTGGTGTTGGTACTTGAGGCTCACAGGGCATCAAGCCTAAATAAACACACCACGAGTTGCTACCCCCAACGTGTTTCACATATTTATCACCAAACCTGAGAGACAAAGGCAAAGGGCCAAACAGCTGGGGCTCCCTGAAAGAGTAACTTTTCATATCAACAACCTAGTGAATTCAAGCCTGCATTTTATTATACTGGGAAATATTTTGAAACACATAACCAGTAGGCTTCTCAGCACCTTGGTATGAGATGTACAGCCATCACTGCAGAGGAATGTACAAGACAAGGGAAGACATATGAAATTCATATTCAGCATTGCCTGCAAATAATCTGTTGGGGTTTGGAGTTTAACCGCATGTCAGACAAAAGCTGACACCTTGACAGACCATCAAAGATTTGTCGTGCGAAATGCAGAAATGACACAAAAATAAGGGATGAGTGGGGCGCATGTGCTTATTTCACTTACAGTACATGCTCCTTAAATCTTTAGCTGTAAGGTCTCCCAGATGTGCAGCCAATCAAACTCCACTTTGTGGTTATTCATCCTGAAAATCTGAGCATGAAAATATGGAATTTTATTTTGTTTGTACACGTGTGCGTGAGAAGGTAACAGAGGTCATATAACGCCACTTTAAAGGTCCCAGTGGACCTCTCTCTCATCAGTTTTTATTATAAAACTACAAGGTGGTAAAGTTAACCTGGGGTCACTTATTGTGTGTGTATGTGTGTTTATACATGTGTGATGTCACTTCCTTACTCGACTCCAAGACCATTAACTCTCTTTAGCCGGTACCTCCAGCCATGCTGGCAGCTGAACACAGCAACTTAAAGGCCCTTTAAGCCACCCGCAATGTCAAGGGGGTCATGAATATTGCCCTGTGAAGCGTTTTAAGTGGTCAAAACACAGACACTTCTTTTGACTGTGGTTTGACCACTGATGAGTCAAATGCTTTGACACAACAATAATCTCTTGAGGGAAATGAAAACAAGTCAAATACTGCAAAGCTATGATCTGCAGCATGTGAATTGTTTGAACTGGCGGGATAAGAACGAGGGTAGATACATCTGTTATGTTCTTCAGTGCTTTATGGTCCACTGAAGATCTGATTATATTCTCTTCGTTAAAATGTTCTCTCGCTGAGCCGTCATATAGCTCAGTGGTGTACTGAGAGGAGAAGACCCAGGTTCGAATCTGGCCTTGGACCATGTATCGCTTGACATCCCCTTTGTCTCCTCCTTTCATATCTGTCGCCCAAACCTAATCTTTAAAAAATAATTCTCTGGTTTACACTTTGGACGATGCTATCTTCCCTAACTGCTACATGTATGTGTGATGCTCTTTTGGTAGCTTTTTTCAAAGCCCACTGATAAAAAGAGTTGACCAGCTTTGCATTCACATTCAATCCCCCTCCTTCTAACCCCTTGACTTTGAGTTTAGAGAGCACAAGGTCATCTACTGCAGGGCAGACACTTGGATGTCATGTGGGATTGATATTGGGTTTTTCCGGTTAAAGGGTAGTCTCAAATTTCTTGGCATCCACCTTTAGACTTAGAAGTGCAATGTAGACTAGAAAATAAAGTGAGTGTGTGTGTGTGTGTATGTGTGTATGTGTGTTTGTGTGTATGTGTGTTTTGTGAGTCCTGCTCTCTCTCAACCACAGCTTCCCCCTTCTGTTGTTATTTAGCCCCCTGTCCCAGACCAGGCCACTGCCCTTGGGCATCGACTGCACCAAAATCACACTCCCCAAGGGAGACATTAGCAGAGTCATAGCTGTTCTTGTATCAGATGACCTAAAAAACATTTCCACGAGTGCACACTCCCACTCCAAAAAAATCCCAAGTAATGATTTGTAAATGACTTGTTGATTGTGCAAAGAGGGGGTCACCAAGTGTTGTTAATTGCCTTTACACTGCCAGTGACCCGCCAGTACATTAATCACAATTATGACAAAATTACTCAGCCGATTGTTACAGAAGAGTTAGTCACTGCGACGGATGTTGAAAGTGACCAACATGCAGTGTGTAATAACAGCGGCATGTGTGTGTCTGTTTGAGAATGAAAGGGAGGCTAATAGAGGGGCCCCTATGAGCATTTCAAATAGCCCTCCTGCAGTCTCTCTACCTTTCATGTGCTAATATTGCGAAGGTTATGAGTCCCAACACCATCCATCTTCACGCAGATGTTTGTGTGGACAAGGGGGCCTTCCCTGCCACAATAATACCAGCTATGGTCCTAATTCCTTTAGTGTGATTCTGTTTCCAAACTCAGGAGACTTTGGGATATTAGGTATGGATGAGGCACAAAGAAGTCCAACGCTCAGGCGACAGTAGGAGGTCTCGGTCTGCGGGGCCCAGAGAAGCTGAAACACCACCAACATTAAACCTCACCCACTTATCACACATTGGGTCCCCCTCATCTCCATTCCTCTCAGGATTATCACCCGCATCCTAATTGGTTGATCCACCCGGGTGCCTCCCTGAATGGGTGTTTAGTGTCTTCCCATATGTAGCCCTGAGTGCCGTGTGAAACCCAAAGAGAGGAAAAAAAGGACCATTAAGTATGTGACTAACCATAAGAAGAAAGAAACAATTACGCTAACATCTAGAGATGAAATCGTTATAGTGTACTCACCCATATCTCCAATACCACAAGGTTTTTTTTTTTTTTACCACAAGGCTGATAACTATAGCGTCCCTTCTGTTGGGATGCAGGGTGACTCAGTGGCTGAGCACGCTGTCCAGATGACACAGACAGGGAGGTCTGATCTCTAATGCCATCGACCAACATTGTTCATCCTTCAACAATGACATTATAGGAAAGAGTCACTTCACCCACAATACATCTGAACAGCATTTTGATGTAACTGATACTTAACAAATATTCGGATTGTTCTTATTGCATTATTTGTGTTGCTAAGACCTTTCACTTTTGACAAACATTTGTTCTTAGTTATGTTTAAGAGAACTTAACCTTTTGGGTAGAATATTTTCCCACTATAGTGCTACAAAGATGGCCCTGGCAAAAGTTTGACTTGCATAAAACACATTGAATTGTAAAGAAAGCTGATTGTATCCCTAGTGCTTGATGAGTTAGTCTAAATTAAGTTTTGTTTTTATGAGATTTTACATATTTTTGTATTTCATGCCTATCATTAAAGTACCTTTCAGTGTGGTTATTCATTTTTAATTAAAATGATTTTCTGAGAGAGAAGCAAGGCAGTGATGATGATCAGTAGAAAGAGGATACAATTGTTTTACAATTTCAGCCAGAGCAACATATTCACCAAATGTAAAGGTTTAGCATTTGCACTCTCATTTATTTCCTGGGCAGTACCAGTCATTATCTTAAGCGAAGCCAATATTAGCACATCTCGTCCACTGTGGCTGAAAGACCAGAAGTTTACCATCCAAACTAATTTGGGTTTCCCATCCCACACTCCCAACTCCAGTTACTCACAACCAGCACTTCACGACCTTCTGTTTAGATTGTCCATCAAACCAAGGAGCGGAGGTTGTAAAGCTGAAGCCATGAGCACAAATAAAAGATCTTCCACCTTCCATCCATCTGGCTGACTTAACGAACCCTTACTGGAATCACATCTTTTGTTTTAGGAGAACACAACCTTGCAGACAAACCAGTTGTCTGTTGCAGTTACCATAAAACACATCAAAGAAACTACTACAAAGGCTTTTTAATAGCCAGACTGAAAATAATTCTCTTTCAATCTGGTTCAAATTGTGCCATACATAAAGGAGATCTTGTAAGTCGGCTGTTTATTGCTGGCTCATGTACGGACTAACTGTGTTTGGCTACTTCCTGTTAATAGCAGGAACCATTTTAAGGAATATAATTAAATTCCTTCCATAAACAATACAAATTCAAATTCGTCCAATCACAGGCATAAACAATTGCAGCATTTGTATTGCACTGGTTAGTCTTTCGAAAAGTCCAGGTTGTATAGCTCATGAAAACAGCGTCAAAGTTGATTTAGGAGTCCGAGCAATGAATGTATGAATTACAGCACTGCTGTGCAGGCCAGCTCATAGGAGTTGGACGCACCATAGACAGATCTGACATGGCTCTTGTCCTAAAGACCCTACAGAGGAGTGTTTTTCTTCCTTTGGCCTCTTCATGGAAGCTCACAAATCTCTATAGGACTCATCTTTAATTAAAAGCATAACACTGTCTCCTCTATCCATCATTTCCCCCATCCATCAGGTCTGTGTACATTGGCACAGAGACCAAATAAAATCATACATAGAATGTTTCAAACAAAGGGGAATAAAGAATCTGAAAGATAATTCAAAACGGCAATCTCTGACATCTAACAGCTGGAGCTCTGCTAACAAGCTAACACAACACTTGACACAATTGTACTCTTGTAATGCTTCGTGCCATTCAGTATTACTTTAGAGACTAATTATATGTATTAATCATTTACAAGAGCTGTACGTCGGTAAAGGGGGTTATGTTTTAGGTTGGGTTTGTTCGTCTGTTTTTCCATT